ACTTCGTTCCGCTCCTGACGCGCAGCTCGGATGGGGGAGTCACCAAGGTATGGGTATGCCTCTACACCTGTTTTGCTGTGCGTGCTGTGCATTTGGAGTGTGTCCTTGACATATCCACGGATCACTTCATCGCAAGCCTACGCCGCTTCATAGCTAGGCGCGGCGTGCCCCGTCTGTTGTACTCCGACAATGCATCGCAGTTCAAACTAGCATTGTCTGTGTTGGATGAAGCTTGGCGTGATGCTACATCCGATCCCATGGTGCAAGACTACCTGACTAACCACGACATTGTGTGGAAGTTTACTACAGCTTTGGCACCATGGCAAGGCGGGCTGTACGAGCGCATGGTCGGACTCGTGAAGAGGTCTTTGCGGAAACCCATCGGACGGCAACTCCTGACCGTCAACCAGCTAACCACCGTGTTAGCGGAAGCGGAAGCTGCGGTTAACAGCCGCCCGTTGACTACCGTACCAGCTGATAGTGATGGGCTGGATTATCAAATCCTCACACCGGCTCACTTCCTGATTGGTGGCCGTCCAGCGTCCATTCCGTTGCAAGCTGTAGACGATAGCGACCCGGACTTTCTGCCACCGTCTGCCTCTTCGTCTACCCAGCTCCTGACTGCATGGAAGCGTCAGCAACAACAGAGTGCAGCCTTCTGGTGTCTATGGCAGCGAGACTATCTCCAGATGCTGCAGGCCCGATCAACCCCTACATCCTTCTCTCCCCATGCCCGCCAGCACGGTCGACCGGAGGTTGGTGAGGTGGTTCTCACTGGCGAAGCTGATACGCCGCGTGCGGTCTGGAGACTCGGACGTGTGGCGGAACTCATTGTCAGTCCCACCGACAACGAGGTTCGAAGTGCTGTCGTGCAGACACCAGCTGGCCATGCAGTGACTCCACCTCTATGCAAGTGCTACCCACTTGAGTGTTGAGCCAGCACGCCGCCACCAGCACCTGCTCGAGTGGATACTAGAGACCAGACACCTCCAGCTGACGTGAGACCGAGTCGCGCTGCCGCTCGCAAGGCACTGGAAAATATTGCCAAGTGGACAACCTCTTGACTCACACCAGCTAAGTACTATTGCATGTAGTACCTTTTGCTGCATCCCACTCTCTGTTACATTTCCCCCTTCTTTTCCCGCTACGCTATTTGCTCATTCGTTTATGTTGTCTACTGCTCCCGGCATATTCCCTACTCCATGATTTGGTGGTCTCCCGTTTTATTTGTCCCTGTCTATTAGAATCTCCCATGATTTATTTGCCACACTTGTTCGCTGGGGAGTGTCACGCGGACCACTGTAGCGTGAAGTCTCACTGTACTGCTCATGACACGTGCATGTATTGTTCTTAGTAGATCTGGTCTGTGCATTCTTCTGCAATACCTGTACTACAGTGTTACCCGCTTCACTGCACATTCCCACGCATGCGCTCGCTCACTGCATCATGCAAGGCATGAGGTAGTGCTCATGCGGCCCTTTCCTTTGTGTTCAGTTGTGTTAGAAACAAGTAACGTTGGTTGTTCTTTTTTCTTACTAAACGATTACTATCAGTGTTTGAGTTGATAATAACAACCTTCCTCTCACAGCCAGTCCTGCTGTTATTATGGTTCTATTATCGGGGATCCGGCCCTGATAACAGTGTTGCTAACTTGCTAAATTGCTAACTGGGTATTTGTCCGTATTTTTACGGAAAACGAAGTTTTGTCCGCTGTACGGATTTCAATCGAATATCCCGCAAACGATCATGTATATGAACGATTACTAAAACCATCGTACTTCCATCGTTTCTTTTGTCAATTCAACAATCGAAGAGTCTACGTGGTAGCAAAAACTCCAAACTGTCCAATGCAAGAAAGGCTGAAGTAATGTCGGACTAATGAGATATTGCGCGCCGTATTCAGGCATTCTTACCTTGGCAAAATCAAACTTTTGGTCGCACTCTTCGCCATTTTGGGGAGAAATCCCTATTTAGCGAGCTCTTTGAGAAACTGAGCACTTTATAATGATGAAGCCAGCTGAAGATATTTTTCAATCGGCTCGAAAAATGTGAGCGTTCCGTGAAGAAGGAGAGTGGAATGGAGTTGTTGGGACGATTTGCTTGCATATTAGGCTTGGAGAAGACTTTGCTTTGTTACCGCGCCTGATTTGTTAAGGCTTCATAATGGAGCTTGGCGTCTGGCGTTGACCCTACTTAGAGCTTTCCAACGAGCCCTTGATTGTGAACATCAAGTGAAGTAGACCACAGTTATGACCTGGTGAAGTTGACAATTGTACTGAATTCGTACATAGGCTTCACAAGTGAACTAAATCAGTCAAAATGTTGACATGAAAAACGAGTATGGAAAACTCTGAAAATTTCTGCAAAATGGCACTGGGCAATACGCATGGGGTTAGAGAGCACTTGGTAACACTGACTTTGTCTGGTTTCAGGCCTAGCCGTGGCACTGCCAATGTGGTGTTGACACAGCGCTGGATTTCAGCTAAAGCCACCCACTTCGTGTGGGATCGCCAAGTCCTTGGCCTGGAAATGTCAAAAGCATTTGACACCAGTAGCTTCATGAAGTAGAATAGTTCGCCTCTTTCTCCACGCGTACATGATACCATAATGTGGTTTATCCGAAAAGAGGGCAGATTCCCAATGAGGCTGTTAGATACACACCTGCTATTGAAGGACCACACATGTACATAGCGCTTCTTGTCGATTTGGAATAATTTGTTTTATTTTATATACATTTTTGGTCTGAATCCTTTTTTTCTTAATAATGCAATGAATATAACTAAATGCGCACTCATATCACAACCATGGGGACGAATCATGTACATGTATTCCAGAACGTTTTCTTGTCACAATTATCAATGGAATTCGTGACTAAAGAGAATGATGAAACTACAATAGGATTTATACACTTGGAGTGGAACAGCGAGGATACAAGCATAGTAAGAAAAATAGCACAAACCTAGGAACAATGTGCACAGGTAATAAACAATAGGTGAGGTGAGAAATGATAGGAAATTCAGCAAGTGCAGTGTGACAATGGACATGCATGTGCAAGTGTGTGTGAGTGCGAATTTACTGGAATAGCGTAAGTGCGGTGACATTTTCTTTTTGTTTACAAAGATTTGGATCACGAATGCGAATGTAGACTGCTTCTAGAACTTTCAACTGCTGGAAACTACTTGCAGAACGAACAACACTGAACCAAGAATCATCATAACTTTCACGACACACGGGGTTAGACAACAAATGCAATTTAATTGCCGATGTATTCTTCTTCTTCTCACCGCCTCTGCCTTCACTTGGTTTCTGACCACCACCGTCCTTCACACCATCGCTATTCCAGTAAATTCGCACTCACACACACTTGCACATGCATGCCCATTGTCACACTGCACTTGCTGAATTTCCTATCATTTCTCACCTCACCTATTGTTTATTACCTGTGCACATTGTTCCTAGGTTTGTGCTATTTTTCTTACTATGCTTGTATCCTCGCTGTTCCACTCCAAGTGTATAAATCCTATTGTAGTTTCATCATTCTCTTTAGTCACGAATTCCATTGATAATTGTGACAAGAAAACGTTCTGGAATACATGTACATGATTCGTCCCCATGGTTGTGATATGAATGCGCATTTAGTTATATTCATTGCATTATTAAGATTATTGTCTCCACGTCGCCCTTTTTTTCTTCTGAGTCCTTTTTTCATTATCTTCATCTGTTTTGTTTTTGGTCTTTTTGGTGAAGCAGGTAAAAGCATAATTAGCTGTTTGCTCGAGCATCCTGCGACCATCCGCTAGAGCACAATCTGGTCATTTCCGAGCATAATCCGATTACCCCTACTAGTGTGCAGAAGGAACTATGAATCTATGTAGATTTACAGAGGTTGTGACTGAGAGGAGAATCATGGCGAGTCGATTGTCCAAGCCGGTTGTATTGCGTAAATAATGATACACAGGAGCAGTGATGTAGCAATGGGATTTGGGAAAAAGAAGACGAGCTGTGAGACGTTCAGGGGTCACTAGAATACTAAAGCACTTTTGTGCTCCCGCACATATTGCCAGGCGTCAGGCGCCAAGCCTCCCTGCCTATCCGACCCGCCATACACAACAACAAAACTGAACTAAAGTTTTAAATAAATTAATTATTCGACAAGACGGAGACGGGCAACGGACAAACAAAGAAGACCGGACACAACAAGGGAAACTGGAAACTGAAGAAAAAGACAAAAATCATGGCAGCACATGAGCATGCACGCAAACAGAACAAAACAAAACGCATGACAATGACGTAACCGTTCCATGGTGCATGCACCAACTGGATGCGAAACCAAAACAGTTCAACTGGGGGAAAAGGAGAGCGCAAAATTAAATTAAATATACCAAAGGACCACAACAAAATTGAGCCATGAAACGTCTTTCGTTCTAATAAAAACGATACGCAACAAGCGCTTTACACAAAACATCTACAACTGTTCCCTTCAATCCAGTGCAGCAGATAATAATACATATCTAATATTGACTGAGTACGAGGTCAATATAGGAAATAAAAGCCGGGTAAAAGACCGAGGCGAAGCCGAGGTCTTTTACTTAGGTTTTTATTTCCTATACTGACCAAGTACGAAGTCAATATTAGATTTATCACGACAAACAGTCCGTATTTCAAATTCCAGAACGATAACCTCATGAATGCAGGTTCTATGATTGCACAACCGTTGCACCACTACCTACTCATGCAGTGACAATGCTGCACTAGGCACCGTTCAACTGCGCAACCCCTAAGCAGTCAAATATAAGCAGTCAATATACATGTAGCCCTAAGGAGTGAAATATGCAGGAATATTTGACTGCTTAGGTATGGCAAAAATCTATGCGAGTCAATACTAAGGGAGTGATAATCACAAATATTAGAGGTTTGTTCATCCCGTATCCAGCAGTACTATATACACACAGGTATAATTACTATTCTCTGCGTTCAGTGGTGCAGTTGAGAATACTTACAGTAGTCGGAGGTTTGGTAGACCAGAGAACACACCGTCACTTAAAGTCTGGATCGGATTTCTGTAAAACAATCTACAAACGACAAAGCACAAAGAAAATGGGATGCTCTTGCTATGTTCCGGGTACTGCACAAAACACCGAGTCTAGGATATTGAAGTTCTAATCTAAAAGGCCGAATCATGACCTTGTTTTCAGAAATAACCTAGACTCCTAACCCCAACATGATTCGTTTGCAACTTGGTTAGGTTGCAACGTTCACATACACCACAGTAAATATAGTCTCCGGCATTTTTCCTCTATTGTTAAGCAAGAGGTTAGTTGCAAAGCTAGGAAAACACAATTGATTTTCTAACGATGCATTGTTTAACACTGCAGACTCAGTTCACATACACCACTGTTAATTTCTAATGATGCATTGTTTGACAATGAAGACAAATAACTGGCCGCTGAAGAATGAACAATATACTGGCTTGAATTGTTACAAATTGTGTGAGAACTGAATATGACAGTACACCTAAACTGGGACTTCCCAAGGGATTCATAATCTTTGGCTGATCATGGCGTTAGAAAAGGTACAAAAATCCTCGGTCTTCTTTATGGTTTGTTTAATTTATGTTTCGTTATGTTGACACCCCCCTCCCTTTTTTGTTATATTGATGAATAAATGGAGCAGAAATAAAGGAAGTGCGTGCCATAAGGTTTGAAGATTCTGGAAATGTCAATGCTTTTCGAACAGAATCGGTCATTGTCACAAGTTTAGAGAATTAGCCGCAATGGGCAAATGCCTCGTGGCTTCAATTAGAAATCTAAAGGCCACATCATCTTCGTTCTGCGCCCCCGAAAACTTCAGAACATTTGAAAGTTATAGAGGGATACATGATTTAACAATATCCACTGTAATGCAGTTCTGAACATGTAGGAAGAATGTGTTGCTCCATTTACTGTGCGCTGCCGTCTGAGTATCTCATGCACGTAACCCTTTGCATCCAACGACGAGTGTTTGACCTTTTGACGGTGCCCAGTTACTACTCTGGACATCTGGACATCGTCTACATTTCTTTCAAACTCTCGTGCAACCTCTCTGTGTAGGATCTGAACGCACTCGTTCTTCATGCTCTTTCTTATTTTGCGTATCACCTGTGATTGTCGGCTGTAGTCGGACGTCCCTTTGCTATTTGGATAGGGACTTAGTAAGATGGAAATAGTGTTGTTCTCCCCCTGGTCCCCGCCACACAGCAACGCAAACTCTTGATTGTGTCTCCATTCTTTTTATTGTAACAACAATAGACGAAGGCGCAGAAGGAGAATGGAAAACAAAGGTCAACCGAAAAGACAACAGGAAAGACACAAAGAAACCACAAATAACGAGCAGTAATAAAGCGAATACAAATCCATACTAGCCAACCACCAAAATCTCTATACCTTGACAAGACATGCAGAATCCATGGATTTCTCTCAAAATCCCTGAATGGCTCGAAAACAAGAAAAAAACTTTCGACGGCATAAACTGCAGGTCTGCGTACAGCACGGTTCGACTCTGCACTGCAGTTCGATCAGTCGGCACCCGCGCCTGCCAGTGCAGATCTTGCAGGCTAGGCTGATCAGGTCTTGAAAGGGCCGTGCACAGTTCGAAGTGCGAGTGGGCACCGCAATTTTTTTGAAGAAGAAGGAACGGGACATTCGAGGTGAATCAATGGAGCGTAATGGAGCGTTCAGGAACATTCTGTATCAGACAAAAATGTGACTTTAATTGGAGTTTGTTTCAAATCAAGTAGAACAATATCAAGCCTTCGGTGCTCAATGAAGCGATCGCACCAGATGGTGAAATCCCACAGAATCTTGATCTTTTGGTCCTCCGTAGAGATGAAGTATCTCTACCTTCAGGCACGTTACCCGCGGGTGCATGATGCTCTTGGGCCGATCACAGTGGTGCTTGTAGTACTCGTATTCTGAAGGTATCCCATGTACACGCAGAGGCCAGCCGATTATGACGCTCCAAGTAAAGCCGTCCAGCGAGCTTTGAACACTCGCATAGGATATGGGCAACCGACTCGCCTGCCTTCCCACACATTCGAGACAGGTGGCTTCCGCTCTGATGGAAGATTTGGGGCTTGAGCAGGTTAGTTGCCAAGGCCTGGTATAGTGTCGCGATGATCAGGCTCTCTGTGATCTTCTTGGGGCCAGCCGTGATCATCTTGAGACCAGCCTTTTTCAGCCAACTCCAGGTGTTCTCGTTGGTCAGTTGTTCTGTTTGCCGGACAAACTACCCATGCCAGGGTTTCTGGGTCCACGCCAAGAGATGTTCTTTTTGAAGCCGCACTTCACCACCTGTGAGGTGTCCGGTGGGGCAACCAGATGTGGCCACAGAATGGGTGCAGCAAGCTTCATGAGTTCCGCATCTGACTGAAGCACATAACGCTGCAAATTGCTTTTCTCCATGGTGACAATATCATGGATACTTTGCAAACCACGTCCACCCTCCTTGCGACTGACGTACTTATGGGCTACATCAGCGCGTGCATCGAGAGCTCCATGCATAGTCATAAGTTGTTGTTGTTGTAGAAGTTTATTTAACGTCGCACCACAAACAGGCGATTTCGCCTCCTTTGATACTTGTGGACGACAGAAGGAATGAGAGAGAGGGGGGGGGCAGAAGTATGGAGAGAGGAAGGGTAGAAATAAATAAGCAATCAACCTCAGGGCTACACCAAAGCAAAAACGGAATGGGAACATACTATATACAAAATAGCTTCATACATATACCGTATTTTACCGGTTGTAAGTCGACCCCGGTTATAAGTCGACCCCCCTATCTGGAGGTCTCAATTCTGCGTTTTAAAGTTTTCACCCAAAGAAGCACTACTAACCACCTCCTGCTACTAACACATCAACAAATCATATAAACATTCCTTATTGGAGGATATAACGTCCCAATCCTTGAAAAAGGCCAATAAACTGGCAAAATGTGTAAACATGGTGCACTCGTGCATGCAGTGCAGGTCATTTTTTTGTAAGATACTGTTAGCCCCATCCCTCACACAAACAAGTCAACAAAGAGGCATCTTTGGATTGAGGAGTGCTGGTTTCGAAACAACTGGTTTGAAGCTCAAAGTAGAGCTGGTGTTAGCTCAGAGCAGAGCTGCTGTTAGCTCAGAGCAGAGCTGCTGTTAGCTCAGAGCAGAGCTGCTGTTAGCTGAAAGTAGAGCTGCTGTTAGCTCAAAGTAGAGCTGCGGTTAGCTCAAAGTAGAGCTGCGGTTAGCTCAAAGTAGAGCTGCTGTTAGCTCAAAGTAGAGCTGCGATTAGCTCAAAGTAGAGCTGCTGTTAGCTCAAAGTAGAGCTGCTGTTAGCTCAAAGTAGAGCTGCTGTTAGCTCAAGGTAGAGCTGCTGTTAGCTCAAAGTAGAGCTGCTGTTAGCTCAAAGTAGAGCTGCTGTTAGCTCAAAGTAGAGCTGCTGTTAGCTCAAAGTAGAGCTGCGGTTAGCTCAAAGTAGAGCTGCTGTTAGCTCAAAGTAGAGCTGCTGTTAGCTCAAAGTAGAGCTGCGGTTAGCTCAAAGTAGAGCTGCTGTTAGCTCAAAGTAGAGCTGCTGTTAGCTCAAAGTAGAGCTGCTGTTAGCTCAACGTAGAGCTGCAATGCTAAATGGATGTAATATAGCGCAAGGCAGAGCCGCAGCAAATAGCTAGATAACACCAGTTGTGAGAGTGGACCCGATTAGTGGGTATGATAATTATGATGGTGTGAATAAGTTGGATAGGGAGGGATGGTGGGAAAAGAAACACTGCTGAAGCACGATCCGTTGTCTGGAAGAGCACAACAGGGCAAGCAAGATTTGTTTTTCTTTTCCGCAAAATGGGCTGGTGCCATTTGTGATTACGCAGCAAAACAAAGCGCATGACGTCAGTCTTGAATGCAGTACAAAGCAATGCAGTGCAGTGTGTGCGCTAGTTCGGATTGTTGCTAACAAGTACTAGCACAGCTAGTACACCATTAGCCCCATCCCTCACACAAACAAGTCAACAAAGAGGCATCTTTGGATTGAGGAGTGCTGGTTTCGAAACAACTGGTTTGAAGCTCAAAGTAGAGCTGGTGTTAGCTCAGAGCAGAGCTGCTGTTAGCTCAGAGCAGAGCTGCTGTTAGCTCAGAGCAGAGCTGCTGTTAGCTGAAAGTAGAGCTGCTGTTAGCTCAAAGTAGAGCTGCGGTTAGCTCAAAGTAGAGCTGCGGTTAGCTCAAAGTAGAGCTGCTGTTAGCTCAAAGTAGAGCTGCGATTAGCTCAAAGTAGAGCTGCTGTTAGCTCAAAGTAGAGCTGCTGTTAGCTCAAAGTAGAGCTGCTGTTAGCTCAAGGTAGAGCTGCTGTTAGCTCAAAGTAGAGCTGCTGTTAGCTCAAAGTAGAGCTGCTGTTAGCTCAAAGTAGAGCTGCTGTTAGCTCAAAGTAGAGCTGCGGTTAGCTCAAAGTAGAGCTGCTGTTAGCTCAAAGTAGAGCTGCTGTTAGCTCAAAGTAGAGCTGCGGTTAGCTCAAAGTAGAGCTGCTGTTAGCTCAAAGTAGAGCTGCTGTTAGCTCAAAGTAGAGCTGCTGTTAGCTCAACGTAGAGCTGCAATGCTAAATGGATGTAATATAGCGCAAGGCAGAGCCGCAGCAAATAGCTAGATAACACCAGTTGTGAGAGTGGACCCATGAAACCAGCACTCCGTTAGCTAAGCACTATTGACGCACAGCAGGGGTCAATTAATGTCAGCACAGGCAAGCATTGTGCAGCTAGAGTTCAGTAGCTTATTACTCACCCGAGTTGGGGATCATGTCATCCATGGCACGGCAGCAAGCCAGGACGATAGCTGGCGCTTACCGCTTGTTGTAGTCCGGATGTAGCATAGACACGCATCGCTCTTTCCACTGACCTGCCACTCGGAAGAAGGAGTCGGGGGCACTAGCCATAGCAGCGGTGGTGGCTGCACCAATGTGGACCGAATGCCCGGAGTAGTTCGACTGGGATGGTACACCGGCCGCAGCGACAAGAGACCATACTGTTACTGTGAATGACTGCCTGGTCAGCTGCTGTCTGTTCGAGAGTACGAACAAGA